TGAGGATGTGCAAGACTCACATGAGAAGCCTCGACCCCCACATCCACCCAGCTCAAAGGGGGCTGAGGAATCTGCGGGTTTTTTTTTGTTTTGTTTGTTTTTTAAATTTTATTATTTTTATGTGTGTGTATCATCAAATCGGATCTGACTGGTACAGGAGGAGACTGCCCCTCCTTCTCCAGCAGAGCATCTGGTGGATTCAAATTGCGTACCTCTGGGATTGCAGTGCCCACCTTCTTGCCATTAGGCCACCAGAGCTCCCTGGAATCTGCGTTTTTAACAAGTGGCACGAGCCGCTCTGGTTAGGGTGACAAGACACCTTGAGGACTATCACCAGGTGCCGTGGCATGATATAAGGTGTCTTATCAAGTCCACCGTGTGTGTTCTCTTTCTAAGCCAAGTCCCAGCTGCTGCTTTTAGAACTGCACTTGAGTGTGAGTTTGGCTGCAGAGTTTGGCCAACTCAAAAGTATTCAAATCACATGGGAAGAATATAAGCTCTCAGAGGCAGAAAAAACCTGGGCAGGTCTTTGAACTTGCACTTACTGTGACTTAGGCAGGTTACTCAGCTTCTTCAAGGATCCCCTCCTTCATCTGTTAAGTGGGAATGATGTTACACACCTCAGATCACTTCTGTGTAAGCACCTAAAACAGGTTTCTTTTTTTTCTTTTTTTTTAATTTTTATTATATTTTATTAATTTTCATAAACATTTACAGAGATTTTGGGCCTCCACTCATTCATTGTTGCACTATTCTCTCTACCCTCCTCCCAGTTTGTTCTTGTCCAAATGCCACAGTGCTTGTCAAAGCCAGTTCTGATTAATCTTCTTTGTCAGTGTATCCTTTGCCATTCCCTATCACTCCTCCCTGAGAGAGACTTCACCCTGAGTCATAAGGAAAAGGGGATGGCATATTCTCTTAGCTACTTCCTGCTGAAAAGGGACGCTGTGGGTTTCAGGGTGAAGATCTTCTCTCACTACTCTAAAGGGCCCCTTTGGCAGTAGGAAACACATAGACTATTATGGAGATTGATTTTGGAATTTAGATGCACTCTTATTGATTGTGCTTGGCTGTACATGTTCATATCCTTGAAGATGTATCATGGGGGTGTTGCAACCTAGAAGACACAAATTTGACTAACAAGTTATAAGTACATGAGTCCAAAAATTATGGAAAAGTAAAAGAAAAGATTCTTTCATTGTTTTACAAACCCTCCCCCAGGTCCCCTCCACCATGTAGCCCTCGCTCTAGTCTCCTGTGATGACAGAAATACCCAGCTAAAACAGGTTTCTGCCTTCCAGTACGGGACTTGGTAGCCAGCACCAGAACTCAGGGGCCTGCCTTGTTTTTCAGGTCTTTCACATTTTCTTTTAATATCTCACCATTTTCCTATTGTTTCGTGGAAAGTATTTGTGTTTTCTCTGGTTAAGGGATTTTGGCCTGTATGCCAGTTCCAGCTTTCACAGGTATTACTGTATTACTTTCTTCAGTTCTCATTTGTCACAAGTAAATCCCAGGTCTTTCTTTTAAGAAGCTTCCAGGTGGAATCGAACCCCTCAACCTTTTACTTAGCAGCTCAAGTGCATGAAGGGGTCCCTGGTGGCTGCTAACTGAAATGGTAGTGGTCTGAACCCACCAGCTGCTTCATGAGAGACGTGGCAGTGTGCTTCTGTAAGGTTTTATAACCTTCTGTAAAGGTTTGCAGCAAACATGATGGGGCAGGTCTACACTGTCCAGTAGGATTGCTGGGAGTTGGAATCAACTTAATGGCAATGAGTTTGGTTTCAGTTTAAGTTCATTAACTGTTTACACCACTCAGGGAGTCCTCCATTCTTACATTGTTGTTATGTACCACCCGACTGGAGCTGACGCACAGCTGACCCTCCAGAGGATCTTCTCAGGCAGTAAATCTCAGGAGACTTGGCCATCTTTCTCCTGCAGAGCAGAGGTGTGTGGATTAGAACTGTGTGCCTTTGGGTTGGCGGTACAACTCCTTCCCACTAAGCCGCCAGAGCGCCCTTGTTTGGATGGCAAGTTTGCTCCGTCTCCTCACGACACTATAAACAGCAGGAGGAACTCCTGTCCAGTCCCCAGCCAGCCTCACAGTCTCTGCCGTGCTCAGGCCTATTGCTCGAGCCACTGTGTCAATCCATCTGGTTGAGGGTCTTCCTCCCATTCACTGACCTTCCACTTGCCCAAGCACTGTATCCTCTTCTGGAGACTGGTCTCCCCCAATAAGATGGACCGCAAATGTGGGACGAAGGCTCACTGTGTTTGCTTCTAATGAGCATTCTGGCCACATGTCTTCCAAGATAGACTTTTTTTTGTTCTTTTAGCAGTCCATGGGATGTTCAGCACTGTCCACCAACATCACAATTCGAGGGAATCGATTCTTCTTTAGACTTTTCTTTTCCACTGTCCAACTTTCACATGCACCTGAAGCAATTGTAAATGCCATGACTCGAGTCAGGCGTCTCCTGGTCTTTAAACCAACATTCCTGGCCGTTAACCCTGTAAAGAGAGCTTTGATAGCATATTTATCCAAATCAAATAATTTGATTTCTTCACTGTTGCTTCCTTGGTATTGATTGTGGTTGTTGTTGTTGTTGTTATGTGCTGTTGAGTCACTTGTGACTCATAGCGACCCCATGTACAAGAGCGCTAAACCCTGCTCTATACTGTGCCAACCTCACTGTCCCCGACACACCTACTCCCAGTGACCCCAATCACTAATCGATCCATCTCATCGAGGGTCTTCCTCTCCTGCACTGTCCCTCCACCTTCCCAAACATGATGTCCTTCTCCAAGGACTGGTCCCTCCTTGCAAAATGCCCAAAGTATGTCAAAGGATTGTGGATACAAGTAAAGTAAAATTTGTGGCAACTTCAACTTTTTTTGGCTTTACATAGGAAACAGAAATTAACTTTTTAAAATGAAGACAGAACCCTACCAAAAAGTACTTCTCATTTTCCTCTAGTACTTGAAGCTGGTGTGGTTAAGGGAAACATTTTTCAGATGTCCAGGTGAATAGTTTTGACCTTGAAAAGTCACTTGAAAAGTAAACGGCCATTTAGTGATCTTGGTGCAGGGGTCCCCTCCTTGGTGTCTCTGGATAGTATCTTAATACTGAGCTCTGTTGTAAATGGATGTTTCTGCTAGAGATGTCAGCAGGTAGATAAGGAAATGACCCACAGCGTCAGTCCCTTTGCAGGACACACTTCGAGACCTAAACAAGGAATGTGCGTGAGGTATTTACCCTGAAACTATACCTGCCCCAAGGCCAACTCTCACAAGAAGAACCTTGTTTCTCAGAATGTTAGTAATGGAGTATTTGGACTGTCTTGTCCAAATGCTTTCAAGGCAAAATGAGACTATTACAGTGGTTGGGGAGGAACAATGAGTAATTATACCCATGGTGTACATTGAGCTTTCTGCTGGAAGGTACCTTGTAAATTGAATTTCAGGAAGGTCTGCTCACAACTCCCCTTTCCAACCCACTTCCACCATTTGAGAAAAAAGCAAAATTATCTTTGTTCTTTGTGTTGGTTGATTAATTTTAAGATCTCTCTTCTCATCCCATATCCTGCTCATGTAGGTACTTACGCAATACATTTTGTCTGGTTTTAAAATGTATTATCACACGATTATTTCACTGAGTAGCCCAAAGCAGGAGAGAAAGCTGATCGCAAATAACACCTAGCTGAGCCCTCTGGCTGGGAGAACTGTATCCTAGAAGAAAACATTTGATTACTTTATGATGCTTTCTCTCTGTCTTCACCCTTGGTCCTCTGTAAAACGGTGGCTAAGATTCCTAATCTCAGTTACTGGGCAGGGCAAACCTAATCACTTCCATTCTCTGAAGGCCACAGTCTGGAAGCCAAGAGGGAGGGGGAAACCCCTATAAACGTAATCATATGACTTGCTATGCTAAGGAGACCTTAGAAATCCTTTGGAACAATCCTTTGCATTTTCCAGAAGAAGAAACTGAGCTCCAGAGTCATGTGGTTACTTGTTTTCTTTTCGTTACTGTCTGCAAGTTATCAGAAACAGTGTGCAACGAATGATCGTTTTTGGCCTCCAGTAGGTTAAATGAGTCGCCAAAGATCAGAAATTATTTTCTGGTGGAGTACCTTCGAAAGCACCAGAAGTTTCCATCTAATTGATTCAGGTCAGGTGATAATAAATAAAAAATTGTACTGATAATAAGTAAGTAGTTGCATGTTTTAATTGTTTTTGGTGAAACATTCTTCTAAGTGATATATCCCTGGTGTGTCCAGTTGCTGTACAGAGAGGTAACTCGTGGTTGCTGTGATGCTAAACACTGTGACACTGATGTGTCAAAGGCAATAATGGTTACCCATGATGGACGGTGTTTGGTGGAGCTCCCCAATTAAAACAAGCCTGAAGCAGGAGTGGCATCCACTTCCGAAATAGCTTGCCTCCAGAAACCGTCTGAACTTAGAGAAATGATGAACGTTCTGCAAGTGTTCAGGTCTTTCACAGGGTTGCTCAACGACACTTAACAACAACAACAGTTGATGCATGAGCCTTCTGCTAAGTCCTGGGGAGCTGGGCAGGAAGGAGTGCAGGTGCAGAGAAGAAGCTGTCACCTCTCTCCCACGGCAGGTCTGGATGGACACTTAACGTCTTTCCTTCTGTCTGGCATTTGTACAATCTGGGACTTCTAAGTCCGTCCAAAATAAAGAAGCAAACAGACTGGAACATCCTATTGCTCAGAAGTCCTGGTAGAGAGTCAGAAGAGTTGGGGAGGAGAGGGAGACAAAAGACTCCACAGAGGAGCAAGTGTCATGTTTTCCCCAAGGCCCATGAAATGCACCACTGTCTTATCTGTCAGCCTTACTTGTCTGATCTCATGGTGGCCTGGCCGATGCCCAAGTCATGCTTCGAGATTGAATGTGTGATCATAGTTATAGTGACCCCCGTAACAGCCCCACTTGGAAGAATGCTTTCTGCTCACCGGTGCCCTGCTTCTCTTTCAGTGGCCCACCCTCAGGACCCTCCCCACTCATCAGAGAAGCCTGTCATTCACTGCCATAAGTGCGGGGAGCCATGCAAGGGGGAGGTGCTTCGGGTCCAGACCAGACACTTCCACATCAAGTGCTTCACCTGCAAAGGTAAGGAGCCACTTCCTGCCTTAGCGGCACGTGGCAATCAGTGCTTGTCTTGGGGGCCACCCGATCACCTCAGTTCCATGCTGGGTCTTGGGACAGTGACACAATGACTCAGGGTGCTCAGAAACCCTCAAAGGGATAAGGTGAGGAGACTGAGTGCCACAGCTCAGTGGCGCAGTGGGCCATGGGTGTCCCCTGGGGGTTCTGATCATCAGCATTTTTTGAAGAGCAATACAAATGCAAGCTATCCTGTGTACTTGATCTTGGTTCTTCTCCTGTGGTGAATGAAGGACTCTTCACAAAGTAGCCCCACTTTCCAGCACCCGCTGATTATAGGAGACTTGACAAACTTCTGAGATTAGGATGTGAAGTCACTGGCTCCCATGTAGTGTAGTGTAGTGTAGTGTGTGTATGTATGTATGTATGTATTGTGTGTGTGTATGACAGTATTTCTGTGTTGTGTATTTGTATGTTGTCTGTGTGTAAGTTGTACAAGTGTGTGTGTATCTATGGATGGATGGATGGATGGACGGATGGATGGATTGTGTGTGTGTGTGTGTGTGTGTGTGTGTGTGTGTATGAGCGGTATTTCTGTTGTGTGTATTTGTATGTTGTCTGTGTGAGTGTGTATGTATTGTAGGATATGTATGTGGTGTGGGGTATGTATGGTTATTGTATATTATGTTTTTGTTTATACTGTATAATGCAAGATGTGTGTTTTTCTGTGTTTGGTGTGTGGAGATTTTGGATTGAGATGTATGATGTGTGGAGATTTGACAAACTTCTGAGGTTAAGATGTGATGTCACTGGCTCCCATGGAGTGGAGTGAGAGAGAGATTGTGTGTGTGTGTGTGTGTGTGTGTGTGTTGTGTATATGAAGTCTTTGTGGAAGGAGTGGGTGGTATTTCTGGGGTGTGTATTTTTATGTTGTCTGTGTGTAGGGGTTGTGTGGAAGTGTGTATGTATTGTAGGGTGTGGTGTGGGGGTATGTCTATGTATCATGTATAATGTGTTTGTTTCTATTATATAACTCAAGATACGTACTTTTCTGTGTTTGGTGTGTGGAGATTTTGGATTGAGGTGTCTATATATGATGTGTGGAGATTTTGTGGGGGGGGTGTTTGGTGTTTGTGTATACAGTATGTGGGAGTTTTGATTTGAGAAGTTGTGTCTGTCTCTGTGTGTGTGTTTGTGGATGGAGTGTGATGGTTTTAGTGTGGAAGGATATACAGTGGGGGATGTGGTATGGAGCCCCTGAGTGTGGTGTCTGTGTAAGTGGTCGGTTTGTGTGCGCTAAGAAGTATGAAATAAGCTGGAACAAATGAGAGGCCTTCAAGAAGGTCCAATTTGGGGTGAGGTTTTCATTAACCTGCCCCCATGTTTAGGGCTTACAGTTGTTGGCTTCATCATGTGAAATGTGCTACTTGTTACGGCAGAATCAGGGAGCATCGAAGAGGAAAAAGAGCCTGGTTCTGTGTGTTGATGTGAAAAATAGACTCCCTGGGTCTAAGGAGGCGTGGGTAGCCCTGGGTCTGAGGTGGCCTGGGTAGCGCTGGGTCTGAGGTGGCCTGGGTAGCCCTGGGTCTGAGGTGGCCTGGGTAGCCCTGGGTCTGAGGAGGTGTGGGTAGCCCTGGGTGTGAGGTGGCGTGGATAGCCCTGAGTCTGAGGTGGCCTGGATAGCCCTGGGTCTGAGGTGGCCTGGATAGCCCTGGGTCTGAGGAGGTGTGGGTAGCCCTAGGTGTGAGGTGGCCTGGGTAGCCCTGGGTGTGAGGTGGCCTGGGTAGCCCTGGGTGTGAGGTGGCCTGGGTAGCACTGCACAGTGGAGATTGTCGGGGTGCAGGGTGGGGTCGGCGTGTAGGAGCAGAGCTTAAAGAGGTACGAGGCTGTGAACTCACTTTGTAGCGTTCCTCCACACCCTGTGCTTGGCAGCCACCCTCATCCCTGAAAATCCTGTTTCATTTGAAGTGTTTTTGGTCACAGAGACTCAGCAGTACTGTCCTAAGCGTCCATCCCTGGCCAGGGAGGCTCTCGGTAGATGTTAAGCTTCCGGAAAGAACAGTTGCCGTGGAGTCAGACCTGACTCATGGTGCTCAGCTCTTCTCCTGAGGGGTTTCTGGGTGAGCTTGAACTTCAGGTTTTTCAGTCGGCAGCTGGACATGTTAACCTTTTTATGCCACCTAAAGGCTCAGACTGGCATGTGAGGCTCAAATGTATTTTACCAAGAAGAGGCAGGTGCTTTTCTGGAGTTCACAGAACAGAAACTGTTCAAAAGAACATTGATCGAGGTGGGTAAGAAGGTGGAAGGGACAGCGAGACCATCTCACTGAGTGGTTACAAAATGCTGTGACATTGTTTAATAGAGGGGTCACTTGGTCTGCGTGGAAAGGCCTGTATGTACGTGTAATAAATCCACGGTTTTCATATAAACCAACGCCTCCTCCTAGGTCCCACCTAAGGTGCTGAGTGTTGTCGCATTGTGATGACATATCCTGCCATTGTTGTCAAGCAGGCCTGATATCCCCAGAAAGTGACCTGTGGCAGGCAACATGCCCTCGTACCTAAAATAATGACTCTAGACTTTGTTTACAGATATAAAATAGGTGATGTTTTAGACCAGTCTGAAGTTACCAAGTTCTATATATACATATGCATCTACATGGATAATATGGAACCCAGAGGCACTGAATTAGATCTTTTTAGTAAGGGTGTTGGAGGCCTGGTGGATAAGGAGCCACCAACTCCGAGGCAGGTAGTTCAAATCCACGGACTGCTCTGTCGGAGAAAGATCTGTGGAGAAAGAGAGCAATCTCCTATTTACAGCCCCTGAAAGCCTTCTGAAACGTGGTCATCTACGAGCAAGTCTTGATTCGGAGTATGACAGCAACAGTGACTATAGTAAAAATATTAGAGGAAAAAGTACTTTCAAGTTATATACAGTTTGGCTAGCTTGGAGTTGGAGGTATATTTTCTTTTTGCTCATATGTCTCCTGAGGCATGTCTTAAGAGATTGCTTAGTGTGAAATAAAACCCAGAAACAACATGGCCCTGCTTGAGTTTTGACTTTTCTAGTTAAAAGAACTGTGTCAGTCTCAGGTATGAACAGCCAACTGGTTAATGCCTCAAGTTATTAGAAGACACAGTCATTTGTCCCCAGTAAGGTAGAGTTCCTGTGGCTTTACAAAAAATAAATCTGTTCTTGTAAATTTGTATTTCCTTATTCTGGTTGAGATGGATTAACACAGTGACTGTGGTATTGGGGTCAGGTGTGTCTGAGATGGTGAGGTTGACTCAGGATAGAGCCAGGTTCAGAGTTGCTGTTCACAGGTTCGCTGGGAGTCATAGTTGTCTCAGTGGCACATAACAACAACAACAACAAAGAATCTTCCATGGCCTACTGCTCTGTCCTCCAGCTTTCTGGGGTCACCTTTTCTTTAATACCTGATGAAAGAGGATTAATCCCCCTGTACCTCTAAGTATAAATATTCATGTCTCTTTCCAAATTCCTGTTGTTGTTGTTGTGTACCATCAAAATCAGAACTGACCCATAGCTAACCCTACAGCAGGTGTTCAGAGGCAGTTAATCACACTGGAGGAGATTGCCCATCCTTCTCCCACAGAGCAGCTGGTGGGTTCGAACCATGTGCCTTGGGGATTGCAGCGCAGCTTCTTGCCACTAGGCCACCAGAACTCTCCAAAGTCCTAGATCGTTGTAATCTAGTAGAAATAACATGTGAGCCACATATGTAACCCTGAATATTATGATACCTCCCTTAAGAAGGTAAAAAGGAGTGCTGTAATTCATCTGAGGAACATATATGTAACCCACTATATAAAAATTAATAGCATTTTGAGACATGATTAATATAAATACTATTGGCTGTTTGGCTTTCTGGTTTTCATACCAACACTTAACACATGTCAGTTATGACCAGCCACATTTAAGCAACCAGTAGTCCAGTGTGGCTGCCGTGTGGGACAGCACAGCGCTGAGGATTCCTGGAGGTCTGCATTCCTGTGGGCTTCCCTCACTCCACGTTCCTGCCAGGACTGACTGGTCTCCACTTGCGAGCATTACGCTCTGCACTGCTCCACTCCACAGGGCCCCATTCCCTGTTCCTTCAGCCTTCGCTTCCTGAAGTAATGCTAATTGGAGACTGCTGTGTGCAGCAGACATTGCAGAAGATTGAGCAGACCATGCCACAGAGTAGAGAGAAACCTTCCTTCTGTCCTCTTATATGTGCTGCAGCACAGAAGTGTGTAACTTCAAGGCCACGGTCATGTGTCGTGCTCACGCAGAACCTCATCCGTCGTCATCTCTGTAGATCTCCTCTGCAAAGACTGCCCCCGCCCCCGTCCCAGTCCCCCATTGTCAGGCTGGGACTTGAAACTTCCTTCCAGTCTCTGTCTTTTCTAAATACATTGAGATGGTCTCTCAGAAGAAACAGCAGTCCTCTGGCCATGAATACTATTTTCTCACGAACTCAAGAGACATTCAACCAAACCAATACACCCCTACCTTCAAGCGGATGCCAACACAAGGAGGCCCTCTGTCAGATTCCTGAGGCAGTCAATTCCTTCCTGGAGCAGCTGGTGGATTCAAACTGCTAACCTCTGGTTTAGTAGCCCAACACATAAGGCATCATGCCATCAGCTCTTCTTAAGTGACACCCGGCACCCAGTCACTCTTTGTCATGAAGTTAATGCTGACTCGTAGTAGCCTTCCAGCACGGAGGAGCCCTGCCACCCAGAGCATTCAGGGCTGTAATTTTAGGGATGCAGACTGCTACTTTCTCATGAGGAACATCTTGTGGGTTTGAACCACTGGTCTTTTGGTAAACATCCAAGTGCTTAATCACTGTGCCACCAGGGCTTGCTAAGTGATCTAGACTGTAACTATTTCTTAAAGACAAAGAAGAGCAGATGAAAAAACGTTTTTCTTTTCTCTCCATTACATCTAAAATAGAATTTCCAGATTCCGAGATCAAATACACATGGCACGTCCA